CAGCGGGTGTTGGTATCGCCCATAACTACCACGGGCATGCCCGGGGACCACTTGGCCAGATAGGAACTGACCTGCGCCATGTTCGAGGCGCGCGCGTTGATGTCGCCGGAGTCGGACCCGGCGTCGGTGTGCAGGTTGTAGACATCGATCCAGGCACCTTCGGAGACGCGGACGCGCATGAAGGTGAAGCCTTTGGGCGTAAGGCAGTCACCACCGTTCGAGTTGCAGTTGTCCCATGTCTTGCGCTCGAAGTCGATATATGGGAAATCGGAGAGGGTGTTGAGGCCCGATCCGAAAGGCACGCCACCGGAAGTTGGGGTGCGGTGGGCGTGGTTGTCTGAGGCGTAAAGAGCGGCGTGGTAGTTGAAATCTTCTTGAACGTTAATTATATTGTAGGGTCCTAGGCGTGCGGAAATGAGAGGCGTGTTTGTGGCAGGGTTGCCGGATGAAAGAATTTCTGTACTTGCGCGTTAATGCCTTCATCGTGATTCAGGAAGTGGAAGAGCACGTACCAGGCAAGCCTGCGACATTATAGGACAGTACGGTGAGGTCTCCCACCACCTGGGCTGCGAACGCAGCACGGATTGACAAAGCGAGGAAAGCCCAGGAAATCATGATAACGTCGAGAAAGAGTGGGAGCGTCAAGTAGGCACTGGGGGGAAAGTGCGAACTAGAGAAACTTGGAACTTTCTGTCGTTATTTAAGTCGCGTCCCGTCATATCGTGAGTAGCTTGTCCTACGCATTTGGCAGTATGGAGAGATACAAGGACTTATCGGAGCAAGTTCATGTGCGTCAGAAGCCAGGGCAACGTGCGCCCCAGACATGATTGGCCCCCTCCCACTGCGCAACCGAAAGCTGCCTATTTGCAGTAAGCTTCTCGGATCGACGCCTATCTACGCGGCTCTACGCGGTCGCTCGCGTTTATTCAACCCAAATCACAGGTGAAAATTTCGCGCTCGTTGGGAGGATCGTACAGCGGCAGGTGACGACCCGAGTGTCCTCGCTGACTGGTGAGAATCCCAAGCCTTGTGCGACGGGCGGTCAGCTGAAGGGATGGATCACCAACGTGATGAAATGTGGTTGGGCGGAAGCCCACGGAAGTAAAGGTGGGGAGAGAGGATGCATGTGGTTGCGATCAGGGCTGCGAATGCGCGGGTCCTAATAAGGTCATTTAGACTTGAATTGATAAGTCTGCTGACGATCACCGCTTGATCAGAAAGTGAAGTCTTTTTCGAAGTCTTTTCTTCAGCACGTTCCTGCCCATGGATTCTTAGAATCTCTTGGGTTGGGTCCTGTAAATAGAATTTAAGGCGAGGTGAGGCTTCAGCTAGGGAACGTTCATTTTGGACTGATCGTCCCTTTTGGCGCCGGGAACTGACATGTTAACATGATCGGTATCAACGGGCGCTTCTGAGGCGTCTACATCCAGCGATCAAGCGTGTCGCGTACGCGTAATTTTCTTTGACGGAGTAAGATGCACTTCGTATTTAGGTAGAGTCTTGCATCTCCCGCCTTGAAGCCCATGAAGGAGTACAGACCTCAACGGTCGAGGTAAGAGCGAGCATCTATGGTTGATATTATATATTGTTAAACTATTCACAAGAAGTTAAACTGTACATAGTTCGTATTAGATGTAATGTCTAGGAAAGTCGGAGTGATAACCCGAGGCATACGACTCTCAAGTCATAGGGATTTTCGGGAAACCATTGAACATGAGAAAGAAACTCAGGCATGCAGAGGACTGCGATGAATAATAGGAGCAATCACTGCTCGTGAGGTAGACCGGGAACACAGTCTCAAAGTTGCGGATCGTCGCACTCGAGGGTGGTTCATAAGAGGGGCTTCTCCTCGTCCTCTTGCTTTACAGACCAGGGACTATTAAGAGACTCGGGGAATAGCGCTGGGCTCGGACTCCGTTCAGTCTTGACCTCTGGAGAAGGCCGTCGTTGGTCCTGGTGAGGGAGGTCGACGCCGTACGGTGTCCTTGCCTCGTACTGATCCTGAAAGAAATATAAATGTATCGCTTTAGTAAAACAAGAGGGGAACAAATACCTGGCGAGGATGCAAGTCCATCATGACAGGAGCCCGCATGAATTGGTCAGGGACGACATTCATTCGTAGGAGTTCCTCTGTTCAGTGGATGGATTTAGAATCTGGGCGAATGGGCTGGGACGCAATACGTACTTAGAGGTCGATATTTAAATATAAAGGTATACCAGGGTTCGTCGTCGATTCTGGAACCGCGAACCGTTTCGATCTGTCGTTGGGGCCAGTGGTACTCTTCGCCAAATCTACAAGATGGCGTGTTGACGACGAGATCGAGAGCAGGGGGCTGAAAGAGAGATAGATGCTTACTTTGCTTGATGTAGAACTCCGTCGTTCGTTATTGGGACCGCCGCATCTCTGAGGATTTGACCGGTGTATACTGGGTCATGTTGTCTCTTCGTCTTCCTCTCCAACTTGATTCGGCGAACCTCCAACTTGATGGTCCCGAACGTATCTGCGAGATTGTCGGACTTGATCTTATCGTCATCATCTATGAGTAATGTAAGGGCAAGGATAAGCAGAGAGTTCATTTTGGGACTGAATTGAGAAAAGGCTAAACCGGTGGACCCACTTGATGGTGTGATATTGGAGAACACGAAGTTCTGCCGTGTGTCATCGGAGGTTTGGGCCCAGCCGATATGGACGGTGGCGTAGTGCGGTTGTGGAGAGAGGTGAGCGTCTGGGATGATGTGTGTGTCACAGAGGACGCCGTCTATGTAGAGCTGGCCCTCCAAAGCGACGTTACGGACGTTGTTGTGCCAATGGACGGTAAATTCCTGAGTTGATTCGAATCAGGATGTGGACACGCATATGATGGACGCAAAGTCGAGCTAGATTTACCTGACCAGCTATGGACTCGATCCAGCAGGTGAATGTTCTCCCGTCGGGAGAGATTTTAGGAGAGCAGACGTGTTTGTGACGCTGTCCGCTGTTGACCCAGCAAGTCAGGCCAGCGACTCGAAGTGACTGGGTGCCAGGGACAGCATAGTGGGGGTTGGGTTCACGAGTTTGCCACATTCGAGGGTACATGTTGGAGGAAAGTGGGTGTGCACGGGCTCAGATGCCCTCAGCTTTATAGTACCAGTGAGAGGTAGAGGACTTACAAGTGCCACAACCTGGTTGGTTGTCCGGAGATATACGACAACAGAATCGTTTTACTGCGGCAACCTGGCATGAAACAAGCACAAGCACCCGAGCGAGGCGAAATCTGGATCCGTTTGGAAGTGGGGCCCACGCTCTCAAATTTCCAGCAAGACAATGGCCGTACAAACCGCTGTGACCGCTCCAGAATCCCGGGTACGACTGGTATGAATCGGGTTTGAATACCCCTGCTGCAGTGTAATGAAATCAGTTGGTTGCTGTCATTTGCGTGCGCCCACAGTCCATTGCGCCCACAACGCAGCTAGGGGTGGCCCAACAGCCGGATACAACGACTCGGATTGAAAGCTTCTATTCTTGTTCACGAGATCCAGAACAACAGAGGCAATCCAGAAGAGAATCGACAGCCAAAAAACAAGCAAGTTGGGAGGCCCTTTGTCAAGTGGCGAATTCCGAGGCGGCAATAAAATTTCCCTTGTTTGGAAACAAACGGACGGAAGCATCATTGGTCGTCTCCGTGGTCTTCTTGAGAGTCGTTGCGGCGTGTCAACGAAGCGCCCCTTGAGCGCCCCCAGAGCAAAAATCATGCATGTTTTGTCGGGTTTCAGGCAGTCCGGTGCGATAGGCTTTATTGCGCAATATATGGTGCCCTTGTGGGCTGTGGGCGCACCATAAGTATCGAGGGGTGGGCGCTAGCTGCAGGGTGCGGCTGCAGGGTCGGTCCACGGTACCGGTAACACGTGACACAACTTCAGGGCCGGGTAACTCGTCTCGGCCTCTCGCGATTTCTCCTAAGTGCAACCATCTACACATCATGAACTCTCCTCCAGAGGCTGGATCACCATCACCATCGACACCTTCATCAGGTTCTCCCCCCCCTGAGGAGGCCACCTTCCAACCCAACACCGGAGCAAGCTATCTTTCCAACCTCACCAGCCAAATCACCACCGCCTTCGGCGGCAGCTCGAGTTCCAAGCGTCGTCTGCCTACGGGATCATCTTTCGGGGCGTCGTCATCATCCAGAGATGCGAAGACGCGTAGGAAGGGCGAGCCAGGGCGATCTGGAGGTTCAAACTGGCCCGGGGAACTGAAAGAGACCGGGGGTAGCAAGAAGGAGAAGGATGAGCTGATCGATAACGCGCTTGTCGAGTATCTGAGAAAAGGTATGTAGTTCGTTCTCATGTGTCGATTAATATCACACACAGCCTAATATCACGATGTTCAGAAATAGGGGATCCTTTCCTCGAGCCGCCCCTCAAGGGATAGGGATGAGGTTTTCTGTCTTTCTCGATTGTAGTCGTATGTAAGTCGATGAATTTGATCATCATGTCTTCCCGAGAACATTTTTCCTGACGGAATTCCTTTGCTAGATTTCGCTATTCCTTGCTCTGTATCATAAACAATTCGCTCCCATTGTCAAAGAACATCAACGGTGATCACAACCTTGCTGAGGGTTCCAAACCTTGTATGACAAGTACACAGAGCAATCAAGTGTCTGAATAATTCTGTGGGTACACTGCGTCTAAGCAACAGTTTTGAATGTTGGGTTAGGTCACGGCACTCTCGTGCGTTTGACAGCACCGTCCGCAGTGGAACACTGGAGATATCATTCCTCAGGGAGTGTTTAAAATTCAGATCCAATCTTAACGTTTTACGCCTCGTGTTTCTAGGCTCCATTGTGGGTCCACCGGCATTACTATGCATCCTGAATCCAGATATGTTCGAAATCAAGCGAAATCAAGCAAACTCAAGCGACATACGCCGAATCTCAGTTCGAATCAACTCTATCGTCCCCCGGTAAAAAGATCAGGGTCAGCCTTCGAAGGATAGATTTGAGCACGAGGAAATATTTGCTACAATACGTGATATACAGGGTTGGCGGCAAAACGAAACATACGCGAAGACCTCTATTCCGGCGGTTTCGTTGGTGGTGACGTGGGCTTCCTCGAAAAGGCTCTCGATAGCGAGGAGAGAGCGCTCTTCCCTTTGCTCGATGGAGTCCGTGAGGCCCATTTGCGCTTATTCATCTTCCGTTCAGATAGATTTGATTTGACACGCTGCATCTCCACCCCATGCTCCTCAGTGGCAAAATCAAAACCTCGATCGACAGAGGTGATTCCAGTGGCCATGTCGGTCCGGCTGGGCGAGCGAACGTCCACAGACGGCCGAATGGGTCGTCGACCCAGCGAGGTCACGCTACTTCGTCTTGATGCCATCAACGACTGTCCTTGTGATCCTGAGGGATTGGAGAGTGGCTGACGTGGGCGAGAGAAAGAGGAAAGGTCTCTGTCGGGGTACTTTTTCTGGAGAAGTTGGAAGATCTCGAGGTCTCCTGGATTGAACCCAAACTTCCAAGCTTTCCAGAGGTACCGCGGTGCAAGAGCGACGATGATTGTCAGGGGGAGAGATAGCCAGAAATAGGCTGAATGAAAGAGGTAGTAGTTGTTTCCGTAAAGTTTCGTGACAGCATAGTTTGGCGAGATAAGCGAATAAATTACCTGCAAAAGGGTTATGAGGTTCAATAGCAGGACCGTACGGCATTAAGCAACGCACAGTAAAAACCCATTGCACAATTATACCGATGAGAACAGCGAAAAATAGCCACCATGTCCATGCAGTTGCGTTGAAACCTGTGAAAAGATTTGCCACAAGAACAGCGGAGATTGCCATGACCTAGAGAGTGGGTCAGCTGTGTAGACGGCCTCTTCGCCGTGGACCCACATACCGTCGAGAACTCGTACAAATACACGTCATATCCATCCTCTCGTGCCGTGGGTGACATATACGTATATAAAATAAGGAAATAGATAACGGCGGACTGGAGACAGCGTTAATTGCGGTCAGGCCACAAGCGAATGAAGCTAGGCATCGAGATATCGACGGACGAACCTGCATCACTCCATCTATCATATAGACAGTGAAGTTGCGAAGCCCGAACCAGTGCCCTTCGCGGCCGTAGCGGTACAGTTCTGGCACCTGCATCAAGGTGTGAGAGTCTTCTCCGAAGTCAGAAAACAAAAGATGTTGCTGGGAAGCTGGTGGACCCACCAAGGAATCGATCAAACAATCCGATGCCCACGACAGCTGCTACCGTAAACAGAGAATTCCAGAACAGAACGTAGACATAGTCAAAGACGCTGGACGGTGTGTTAGATGAGGAACCCACAAGGGCCGGCGCCTATCGGTATAAGGACCCACTGGTAGGCACTCCATGCATCGTATATTTGGAACCACCACAACACGCCCACAGAAACAATGTTTTTGTAGAAAAAGTTTAGAAGCCTTGAGAAAATCTCCGTAAGTTCATTCTATCAACGAAGAGAACAAAGGAACAGGAACGCACATCACTCCATTGCGTGCATACGACCAATGGCCGTGCACCAGAAGCAGCTTCTTGAGAAAGCGGAACTACAAGATGTCACAAGGTTACATTAGACCCCGGGATTCGGATGAGGCAGACATGAATACCTGGGCTATAGCATAATCTGATGAATTGACGGCTTGCATTCCTTCTTCTCCTGAAATCCCAATCCCGACATCAGCAGCCTGGATCATGCTAACGTCGTTTGCACCGTCGCCGATGGCCAGGGTCATGGCACCTAGCCCATCCTTGACAAGCCTGACGATGAGCGCCTTCTGAAGGGGCGAGACCCGACAGCAGATCACACCATCGCAGAGGACGGCGAGTCGAAGAAGGATAGACTTGTTCTCTTCATCAGCAAAACCCTAGTAAGTGGGTCAATGTTGTTAGATGGAAAAACCAAAGACTAGGACAGAACGAACCTCCAATAAGGCGGCACCGTCCACAACGAGAACAAAGCCACCAGGACGTTCTCCGTTCTCCGGTCCGACAATAGAAGACACCCCAGTGTTTATTCGTTGAAGAGGTATGATTCCTTCTGTCGAGGTTTTTAGATCTGTGTGGTGCCCTGCGGTGGCGTGTTCGGGGAAGAATCGATCGAGTGCGTTGACCATTTGCGCCTGGACAGGCCGTCGGGACGCGCCACGTACAATGATAATGTTCGAATCTGAGGCGATCAAATTTGTACTGCGGCCAATCGCTATAAACCCACATGCCGGACATCAGTCTATAGTCGGTCCTAGAGAGCAAAGAGACGTACCAATAGCTGTCTCCAGTTTGTCGCCAGTTGCAACCCATATCTTGATGCCAGCTTTCTTGAGGTCTTCGATAGTCTCTGGAACACCGTCTTGCAAGCGATCTTCGATCGCCGTGGCACCAAGGAGATGCAGTCCCTGCTCCAATTCGTTTGAGACTTGCTCGACTTGGTCTTCTCGGCCTTCCAGAGCAATGCCGGCTTCTTGGTACCGTTTGCTCCATGCTTCGTATTCATCAGCTGCAGAAGAATGTGAGTCACTCGCAAGGAAGGAACGTGGGACTAACATACCTGGAATCATGCGATACGCCAAAGTCAACGTCCTCAACCCACTGTTCGCGAACTCGCTCAAGTGTCTCTCCGTCTCCTGCTTCATTGCCTCTTCTCCAAGTTGAAGTCGTTCAAAGATGACATTATCAGCACCTTTCGTCAGCAACAACAAATCGTTGCTTTCGGCGTTAAGTCTTCGCAGCACTACGCTCATCCTCTTCCGTGCACTCGTAAACTCCAGGATATCCAAAAGCTCGTATCTCTCGATGTCCGCTGATCTCGGCGTCCAAAGCGATAGAACCTCCTTGTCTTTACCGAGGAAGGCGAATCCAGCGTCCGCAGCAGCTTTGACTAGGGCAGCTTCGTCGGGTGATTGAGCCTTGTACTCAATGGCACCAGTTTGGGGGTTGGTGGCTGCTAGGGCTGTGTGGCATAAAGAGAGAACCGTGAAGAAATTGTTGATGTTTGACGAGAAGGCGGAGGGCTGAGAGTTGACTGCAGTATCTTGAATGTCCTCGAGGAGAACGGAATCAATGAACGTCGGCGTGCCTTCAGATACAGGATGGACAATTTCGGGGCTTGATCCAAGTCCCAGATGGAGTGTCGAACTACTTGGACGGTTTTGAGCCTGAACCAAATCGACGTGCACCTCCAGCTTGGCGAGATCCTCGAGGTTTGACAATGGTTTTACGTCGTCCTTCCCGTCTTCCCCTGCCGTTGATGGGCTATCACCTCTGTATGCCTTTCCTCCAATTGAACACATTCTGAACACCATTGAGTTCTTCAAAAAGGCTTTCAATACGTGCAACATAAATGAAATCTTTTGCCACACACCTGGGTCAAAGTACCGGTCTTGTCTGAGAATATGTACTCTATCTGTCCAAGGTCGTCTGAGAGATTCCACGATCTAGCTTGAGTAGCTTGCTTTGTCTTCTTGTAGTAGATATCATAGTCGTAGTAGATAAAAGCAGCTTGCAAGGTGCGAACTACTTCGATGGAAATGTAGAGCGATATCGGAACGATGTCCTGAAAGCTGCGTTGCATCAAAAAATTGCGCATACATACATGCAGGCTTCGAAGCTACTCACGTCAGAAGAGCGAATGCCCAAGTGATGAGACCGTTTATCCTTGGGTTATCATCCGGTAAATCAGCCCCATAAAGCCACGGAGCACCCAAAGGATAATACTGCTTTTCGAGGGATGAATCCGCAATGGCACAAACAACGGACATCACGGCTAAAAGAATGAGATTGATAAAGCTAAACCGCAACGTTAGTGAAATGATAGATGACTTCTGAAGAAAAATCTTACACTTGTGGGTTCATTTGCCTCTCAACTTTGCTTCGTTTGCTGGGCGTTCCACCGGAGTTCATGACAATCTTTGAATCAAGCCCTGTGAAGAGAACAACTCCAATAGCCCATCTAGTATTCCTCAAGACCGTGCCACGAAGAAAAGTTGTGGATAGGTCGACGGGATGAGTTGATCCATTGACAACAACGTTGGCGTTCAGCCTATACATGTCGATGGCTGGACGTTCACAATGAATGCGGAACGCATTCTGTGGATCGGCACATGTCCTTGCATTACGCAGCCCCGTCAAGGACGACACTGCACGTCGAGACTTGAGGTTGGTCTCTCCGTCCAGGTTCTTTGTCTCGACGAAGGCTACGTTCTCATCCTCTGATGTCGCGCAGATAAGAATGTCGGCTGGGAAGGACTCATTGTCCATGATCTTGACAAAGTCTCCTACACGTAGGTCTTCCCAGCTTGTTTGCTTCCAGTGAGGCTTAGTCGGATCCTCAGGTGTGTAACCTTCAGTATACTCGGGGTCTTCCTCGAGATCAGTGTCATGGCTGGTCACAGATGGATGTAATTCGTTCGACGTGTTAGCGTCCTTGCCCGAACGTCTTGGAAGGATTCCGCGTATGAATGTCTTGCTCTTGCCTTCTGTGACGTTCGGATTGATCCAACTGCCGCCAGAAAGCACTCTGACCTTGCTGTTGTTCACCTTGTTGTCCGACTGGTGACGTTTGAAGTCCTCGTACCCGTCCTTCAGCGCTGTAATTGAGAGGATGACGATCAACGGTAGGATAACGGCCCCAGGCGTAATCGTCCTGAATTTCGGAAAGAATTGAAGGATGGCAATTCCAAGAAAAAATCTGGTCCCGATGTCAGTTGACAATCAGTATATTGAGACGCTGAGACGTACATGTTCGCTATGCGCCTAAATTGCTCAAGCAGATTGCGAGGTAGGAAGGTTATGAGGGTGTACTTTGAGGTAATGACTTGGTTGGTCGTGTGTCGCCGATCACGTCTGACGCGGCCCCTTGAATCCAAGTAGTCTTCAGGAAGAAGTTCATTGACGAACACAGTCCTTGGAGGTCCCGGTGGTCGCTTCCGCGAAAATAGTGTCTCGACCTTAAAATCAACCATACGAGCATACCAACTCGCGATTCCGCGACTCTGGGTGTCACGGGGGTAAGTCATAGGTGAGAGGGCTCAAGAGGAGCTTGGAACGTGGCAGTTGCACACCTGGGCAGAGGTAGGCATGGGCGTTGCAGATTAAACCATATCTACTGGGCCGGAGTTCCCGAGACCTGCGTTCGGTACGGAAATCGATGAATCAGCGTGCTGTGTACGCTATAATTGGGGGCTGCAGTGACAAGGATCGCACTGCCATGATGCCGGTTTGTGCTGATACAACGTTGACAGCTAACGGCAAAATCGCAGACGTTGTCTAAAAAAACCCACATTCACCCCAATGCTTACGGTTAGCGTGCTCGTTAGGCAGGATGATGGTGAGGCCTACTGGTCGCGTTTGTGGGTCAGTGGAGCCCGTGGGGTCTCTCGTTGGTAACCTGCCCCTTTGAGGTCAGACGGGTTGGGATGGGAAAGGCCGCTCCTCGAAAGTTGAAACTTGCCAAAAGCTGCAGTTGACGTCAGGAAAGGCACACATGTGGAGATTTTGAAAAACGTCTACAATTCTGCCGTTACCTGGAAAAGTCAAGCAGCTCACGTTCAAGCGGGACGATGAGACCTCAGGAGTGTCATTATCCACTGAATGGGGCAGGTGCGCCCTATTGAACGAGGAGGCAACGAGTGTGTCGTGCGACGAGTAAGAACGAGTTGTTCAAGACGCCGCTTGACGGAGATTGTGATTTAAGCACGTGATGACTAGAGACTGATGCATCTTATCTCATCACAATTGCTCGACTCGGACGTGTACAATGCCTTCTTTTGTCATTGTTCATGATGTCGAGGGTCTGGCTGTACAATCTGTGGCCTTGTTTCTGCCACCTTACAACCCTCTATCGGTATATAAGTCGCAATGATGGATCAGTTGATCCACACGAGCCACCCCCTCTTCCAAGTTCTGCGTCTTCCGATGATCGTGGATAAATGGGCTCTAGGCTCCGGAGGCTCTGCCAGAAAATCGGATACTCTGGATAAATCACCTATCGGTCGGCTCTCCCCCGAGAACTTTATGGAGGTCTTTGACCACTGCCTCTCCCTGACAGACTCCGATGCTAAGGTGCCCCTAGGGATCACACTCTCCCATGTATCGAAGGCCTGGAGGGACGTGGCTTTAGACCATTCGCCACTCTGGACGAGGATTGTCTGCAAGAAACCGATTCTGCCACCATCCGTCCTCAAGGTCAATGAATTCATCCAGAGATCGAAGAAGAAGCCGTTGGATATCGTCCTCTATCTACACTGCGGAAACCCGGAAGAAAATGAAGAAGCGGAGCGGGGGTACCGGCACGGGGTACACCCAGATGCCAAAAGTCAGGATCGCCAAAATGTGCTGCTGGTTCTAGAGGCACTCGCGACCCAAACCTACCGTTGGAGGAGAATCTACATCGCTGCACCAGCTTACGACTACGAAGTTTTTCCAGACCTCTTCCTGCAGTGGAGACAGATGGTCTCCTCCTCTGCGGCGCCACTGCTCGAAAGTGCCTCCTTCTGCCCTGGGCTCTCGATCGATCACGATCATTACAGTGAGGATCAACGGCAAAATCTCCTTGAAATCTGCAGCAGCATCAAATACCTTCCTCAGATTTTAGCAGGGGGGACCCCAAACCTGAAATTCATTCGATGTACATCTTTCGCCTTCCCGACGCTTCTCCCGCCTTTACACAACATCGTGAATCTCCAGATTGTCTACACTGACTTCAGAGGTTATGGAAGCCAAAACCCACCTATTTTCACTTTTTACCATCTGTGCCACATACTCTCGCTCCCCAATCTTGAGACGCTGCTACTTTCAGGAGATGAATTTGGTGCATGTGCTTCCCCAGAAGACAACCTACCAACAATTCCTTGTCCGCGTCTCAAGCATTTCTACTTCGACTCAACCACATATTGTTTCGATAACTTGGTTCGTGTCATGGATGCGTACAATCTTGAGCGGTTAACGCTAAAGTCTTTCCAACCACGTATCACCGGGCTCCTGCTCGATCCTCCAAAACCATTCAAGGCAGTATCAACCCTTGAGCTTCTGAGTTGCCGTCCTGTGGAGGATGAGCTCATTTATCTGATGGATCTGGTGCCAAACATTTCGACTTTGGCTATCCACGGAGATTGCTTTGAACTTGGTTCTGGTTTCTTGACTGACGGAGAGATCGACGATGAGGAGGACGAGGAACAGGAGGGTGAGGGCGAGGTGGAAGAGAATTATGCATGTGCAAGCAGCGAGGGAGAACAAACCGACTCTGATCCAGGCCAAACTCAGCTATCAATTGGGCCAATCGAGTCAATTCCATTGGAAAATGCGAACGGGAGGATACATCGTCGATCTGGGGAATTTGGGCCATTTGACAAGCTGATCGCTGTAGACCAAGCGGGATTTCACCCCTGGCGGTCACTGTCCAGAATTCAATACCACCCCCTGGGTCCACCAAATCTGCGGGACATGTTGAAGTGGCTCCTTCACCGGAAAAGTCGAGGCGCCCTACCTCTGGATACAATTCAAGTTACTCCATGCTTTATGGTTGATGATTTTCGACGCTCACACCCAGAGGTAGAGGAAATAGAGCAGCTTGTCGGATCTCTGGAAAGCTGGGATCGTTGTGAAGAAGTCGCCGAAGGACCAGTCCCATGGGATTCTGAATTAGCCATTGAAGACGTCAAGTTTCGCCCTCGCGACTACTAAGAGGACGAAGGATGCCTTGCGCCGAGATGCAAGTTACATATAGCCACGGTCTTTGCAGCTAACTGTTATCAAATTGGCACATAGTTGAATTCACAGAGTTGAATTATCATGGATAAGGATCACTACTTGGCGCATAACAAAGCGCTAACGAACCGGATGGGAGGTATATACCATTGAGAAATATGGGACGTGCGGCCCCGAGCTTTTCATTTCGAAGAAGGGATACACGGCATTGTATGTCGTTCACACAGACGCCCAGAGCGCAGCAATATCAGTCACCAACCCTATCCAATAAATTATCTGCAGATCAGCTCGGCCAGTCTTAAAAGCTCACGTTGGTCGATATGCACACCAGGAGAATTTGTCACTTGCCATTGTATAACTCAGAAAATGGACTCTTTTCACAAACGTGGCTACGATCCTGGCACGACGCCACCACAAGACTCGTAGCTTATTATGGAAATTACTTCCTGATAAGGACGTTCATAGAATGAAATTGCTCCACCTTGTTCCCGGAGACATTGCTAAAAATATCTATCCTCAAGTCCAAGCGCACTCCTAACGAAATTGTCTCGACCTACACGTCCCACATTGGATACCCAGCAGAAGGGTGAATCAGCCCTGCAAGCCATGCGTTACCAACCTGTACCGGTGCTCGATATGGAATCTCGTGTGTCGAAGCCCTCACAGCGTTTCTCCACACGCTGATAGACATTCCCTCACGGACAAGATACGTTTCAGAGCCATCAGGGCCATCTTGGACCCGATAACAACACTCTAAGGACCGAAGGAGGGTCCCACGTCTTCCTTGCTCTGGATAACCTCTGTCGTTGAGATAGACTTTATATCCTGCAGGTGTGTTAATCGGCTGGCCTTGATGCTTGTCGTAGAAACCGAAGGAGTAGAGGGAGGCTTGCAAGAGGTCACCTTCCCAGAGACGGAGAGCGTAGCGGTCGTTGATGTTCAGCATGAGAGTATCCTCATGGGGGCGAAGTTGACGCTTAGAAAACCAAAATGGAAAATGGGAAACATTCACGACATTAGATGGACCACCAAAATACGCAACATTCAAACTCAAGCAGGACTCACCCTAATTGTAGGTAGATTTGAACGTGGTGACGGCTCAGCACCCTCTGGAACAGGCAAAGATCCATGCATCTGGTAGGTTCTCGTCAGCAACTCCGCCGCCTTTTCGAGACTCCCATGCTGTGCCGCGCAGAAATCGCCAAGTTGCTCTCGTGGCACACCAGGATGAGTGCGCATGAAAAGGTCCATCCAGGGCATGTGAAGGAGCTCTTGCTTTCGGTGTTCAAGAGGTGGGAGGGCGCCATGAGGAGGTACGTTAGCCATTGGAACGTGAGGTACTTCGCGGTGGTGATGAAAAGCAGCAGAAGGGTGTTGTTGAGTCACGGTGTCGAAGTTATGAAGTTACGGAACCTATTATAAATCACGCGGCGACGGCGATGTCAAGGGATCTTCGGTCCGCTCGAATCCATTCGTTGGAGGGTCCGGTGAGCGACCGTGAACGCCTCATCCGTATTTGAGTGCACAGCCTAAAAAATTGGGACATCGGACTTGTCACGAATGAACAACTTGTAGTCTACATGAAGTAGATTGAGCTATGAATTTCGCTACTTATCAGAAAGACAATAGGGAAGTGTGTCGCTGGTGTTCAGAGTTTCCTTGTGATGCTGCCATTTTTTCATTTTGTTATGTAGATAGTGGGACTAAGAACATGAGATGCCAGTTCCAACTTAGTTTACAGTTTCTCTGAATCTCCGCCATCTGATGGGTAGATGCAGCACGAGTATAGCACTGGCAGGCAAAGAGTACTCTAGAAACAGATGCAGGCGCACAACTAATCCAACGAGTACCAGTGACGAGACCTGGATCCAGATGGAAGCACCACAACACCTAAACATACTATATCGGAAAGCCAACCGGAGGGTAGATGGGCCCCACAGGCCATACATTTCCAATCTGCACCCTCGCTCGACGGGGTATCTCATGCGTCGAAGCCCTCACATTGTTTCTCCAAACACTGATGGACCTCCCTTCCTGTACCACATATGTTTCCGTGCCCTGCGGTCCGTCTGGGACGCGGAAACATCGCTCCAGGGACCGAAGTAAAATCCCGCGCCTTCCTTCCTCTGGGTACCCGCAGTTATTGAGGTAGACACGGTACCCTGGTGGCGTGTTAATCGGACGGTTTTGGCGCCGGTCGTAAAACCCAAAAGAGTACGAGGAGACTTGCAGGAGATCGCCTTCCCAGAGGCGCAGGGCGTATCGATTGTTAATATTCAGCAGGAGGGTTTCTTCGTTCGCTTGGGGTTGGCGCTGAGTGCATCGCAAGAAAGAAGTATGCCGTTAGTTGGACCCACAAAAGGCACGCAGGACGCGAACTCACCCCAATCGTAGGCCGATTCGGACGTGGCGGTGATGTGCCTACGGTGGGGTGATCGTGCGAATAATGAATGACAAACACACACCCAAAACACCGCAATGAGTGGCTCTGAGGTGCGAGGACAGTTCCGTGGTTGTGCGGCTCTAACCAGTGGGCGCGCGCGACTCGAAGACGGATGGCGAATGCGGGCGCTAAGCGTGGGAACGGGACGAATGAGGCAACGGCGCCTCCGGAATACGAGTGAGAGAGCGAGGAACGAGGGAGGTGAGAGACGGAAAAACGAACTAAATTCTCTATATTGTGTGAGTGTGTAGACATGGATTATATCTATGAAGAAAGAAGAGCCCGGCAAGGAAGATATCTGAGCCGTGGGTGAAGGAAGAAAGAAAAACAGAAAATTTCAGATAAGAATGAAACAGGAATGGAATAGGGGAGAGGCGGCGAGGCGGCAACTGCGTTGATGGGGGAAAAGGCTACCTAACAAGGAAAGGGTGGCGCGCCGAGCGTCTCGGTGAAACGGGAAAGAGAGGGAAAGAGGCGGTGCCGGTCACGGGACGGATGCTTTTGCTGACTGAGGATCTCCGGGTGTGTCGAGGAATCATATGGCACAACGGGAAAGGTGTCGGGGATCGAGGGAACGACGGGAATGTGATGACAAAGGTCGAAAAAAAGGGATTTACCGGGGTCAGGGAGCAGTCCAGCTCATCATCTCCTCCCTACTGAAATCATGACTGTCCCCAGTCACGCCATCAATGGTCGTTGATGATCTCGTCCGTGTATGATCCTCATGGTCGAAATTGTGGGTGACTCCTCGGAAGCGGCGCGGCATATCGAAATGAAGTCGGAATGGTGTCGTGAATGGTGAGAGATGAACAAGATCTCGAGGGTAGAATGTGAAGGATAACAAAAAAACTAAAAAGAAATGAATGAAACTAAAAATAGAACAAGAATGATGGAGATGGGGTTGTGGTCGAGCACGAAGGTGGGTAAATCGAAGAATCGAGTAGTTAGGTTACGGATTGGCAAAGTGAAAAGCAAGGAGAAATGAAAGGATGAGGTCGACGAGCTGGGAATTTGCTGAGGTCGCAATCCTCCCTACTGAAATAGGAACCGTGCCTTCTACTCTTCGAAAGCGAAGTGAACAGCGTCGAAGTCGTTGTAGGGGTCGAAGGCGGTTGACATCTGAATATCTTGAAGGCGAGAGTGCGAAAGGCCAAAGACATCGTCGAGAAGTCGAGAAGGAAAGGAAAGACGAGGGAAAGAATCAGAACTATGAATGGCAGTGATCTGGCGGTCGAAGAATGTGTTGTCGGATTTGCTGGGGCTACGGGCGGTGTCTTGGCTGCTAAAAATAACCACGTGAGGACTGAAATAGCGAGCGCGTATCCTAAAACGAAGAGATTCCTAGGCGCGATGGCAGTGAACGAGTGTACCAAGGATGTGAGCACAGTCTCATGTCGTCCGGGCACGTTCTCGAGGGGCGGATTGTTGGCGGGCAACAGACACTTGGGAACGAAGTGCTTCGAGACATTCTGACTGTTTGGGAAGGGCGGTAGCGTCATGGTGGTGTGCGGCAGCATCAGTTGTCGAGACATGTGTTGCTGCGGCGGATTGTCGTGAATGATTGCTGTTGGGGAAGTGAAAGGCTGAGAGTCGAAATTTTGACCGCCGGGGTCGAGAAGGTGTTCGAGGTGTCGATTTTCATCGTCTAGAGGGACATAGGAACAGAGAGTGGCCGAAGTCTTCGATTTAACGGGGTTATTGGGATCAGGAGTGTCGTCGGGATAGAGAGTGTGATAGGAGGGCTTGTATATGTCGAAATTGGCGATGGATGCGTCTGGTGGGCTGGGATATCGAGTGGAGGCGAGTGCGATGTTTGAATGGGTGATATGGAACGAGTTGGAAGCGTGTTCGGGCAGCGTTGTAGTGGTGGCACTCTCTTCGAGCCCAGTTGCTTGTTGACGAGTCTCCTTGGTTGTATGGGATCTCGTGGTCGTGGTTTCGGAGTTATGAGGTCGAATTTCGGGGGATAGGGACGGGAACTCGTGCAGGGTGATGACGGACGGAGTACTCGACGAAATGTCGCAGTTGGCGGGCGCCGATTCGATGTCGTTCACGGGTGGTAACATGAGATACGTGATGCCGAGTTTCTTGGGTGTTTCTTGCTCGAGTGCGGTGTCGACGGTCTTTTCTTGTGAGTAAACACAGACGGCGTCTGGTGCGTCTCGAATGGTGAGTTCTGGACCAATATCTTGTTCAGCGGCGAGCACAGGGGCAGCAGGAAGCGGCGGCGAGGCAGGAGAAACTTCTCCTTCATCCTGGAAAACGGCACAAGGCGTCTGAGCGAGCATTTGGGTGGTGGGCACGAAACTGGGCGGTTGTCGAGCACGGAGGGCGAGTAACTCGGCTTCGATGGCGGCGATGCGATCCTTCTTCGAGGTCTGATGTGTAGATCTAGTCGTAGTGCACAAGGGCGAATATTCGAGAGCGGAGGATGGTGTCGTCGAGTGGAAAAGGGTGCCGGTGGCGAGCTGGTTCGGATTTCGATGATGCCATTCGTCTACACGATCCTTGAGTAAATGGCCGGGGATTTCCTTAGGGACGAAAGCTCCTGATGGAAGGACAACCTTTCCCTCGACGTTTCGCCTACACTTGCCAGCGCAAGAGTACTTGTTAACGAGATCACAATCCTGCATGAAATGAGCACTTCCACAAAACTTGCAAGCTACTGGGGCCGGAGACGACGAAGAATGAGGCTGGCGGGCTGGTTCGACTGCTGAAAGGCTCCGATGATCGTCTTGGTGAGTTCTGAGAAGATGGGACCGAGAGCTTCGAGTTTGACAGAGTCTGGTGGCAGAGAAGTCATCGTAGTCATTGCTGTGGCTGAGGGCGACGGAATAGTGGCAGAAAATCCTCGAAGGATGAATCGCGCGGCGTCCATAACGTTCTCGATGGTGTATGGCGTATCTGGGAAGTGATCTGGGTCCTTGATCTGCAGGTGTCGAGCAACGAGCGACCAAAAATTGGGCTGGAATCCTCGGGCAAATGCATGTTCTTGCTCCATCGTGGCAAGGCGATCTTTGGTGACGAGGAAGCTCGTAACGGCTCTGAATTCGCGGTGATAGTCAGCGAGATCGTTGAGCGAGTGTATCCCAAGTCGAAGGCGGCTGTCGACGACATGATCCATGTCCGAGAGCGTGAACTTGAAGTTTTCGTCGGCCTCAGGGTACAGCTTGATTACGGCGGTCTTGAACTCATCGTAGGTGGCGTCGGCACTCGAGAATTCGGTGATGCACTCCCACAGGTCGGCGACGTCGATATCAACATAACGGATCGCGTGTTTCTTGCGTGCGGCGTGGTCCGTGACTTGTGCTTGGTCGAAGAGAAATTCGAGGTCACTAAAATAATGGCGGAGCTCTCGAGGCTTCGAAGGGTTGAATGTCGGGGCCGTTTCGTCACCACGGGGCGGCATATAAATTGGGGATTGGGTCGACATGACGGGTGGAAAAGGCGTGCGACGTGATGGGGAGTTGGACTTGATGGAGAGATGTGACAGAACGAGATTGGTGGGGTCGAATAAATGGGATTAGAGGATATTACGACGCAAAGGAGAGACTGAACGAGTGTGCGATGTCGTGTCGAAGTCGGCGGCGGGGTAAGAAGGCGCAATGTGGATGTGGAACCCCTCGCGGTGGGCTCCAATATGATGTGCCTACGGTGGGGTGATCGTGCGAATAATGAATGACAAACACACACCCAAAACACCGCAATGAGTGGCTCTGAGGTGCGAGGACAGTTCCGTGGTTGTGCGGCTCTAACCAGTGGGCGCGCGCGACTCGAAGACGGATGGCGAATGCGGGCGCTAAGCGTGGGAACGGGACGAATGAGGCAACGGCGCCTCCGGAATACGAGTGAGAGAGCGAGGAACGAGGGAGGTGAGAGACGGAAAAACGAACTAAATTCTCTATATTGTGTGAGTGTGTAGACATGGATTATATCTATGAAGAAAGAAGAGCCCGGCAAGGAAGATATCTGAGCCGTGGGTGAAGGAAGAAAGAAAAACAGAAAATTTCAGATAAGAATGAAACAGGAATGGAATAGGGGAGAGGCGGCGAGGCGGCAACTGCGTTGATGGGGGAAAAGGCTACCTAACAAGGAAAGGGTGGCGCGCCGAGCGTCTCGGTGAAACGGGAAAGAGAGGGAAAGAGGCGGTGCCGGTCACGGGACGGATGCTTTTGCTGACTGAGGATCTCCGGGTGTGTCGAGGAATCATATGGCACAACGGGAAAGGTGTCGGGGATCGAGGGAACGACGGGAATGTGATGACAAAGGTCGAAAAAAAGGGATTTACCGGGGTCAGGGAGCAGTCCAGCTCATCAGCGGCTCCTCACCCTCCGTAACAGGCAGAGATCCATGCGACTGAAACAACCTTGTTATTTGCCGTGCAGCTTCTTCCAAACCCCCGTACTGAGAAGCATAGATTGCTGCCACAACCTCGCGCGGCTGCCCGGGACACTGACTATGCATGAGCACGTCCAGCCAGGGCATACTCAAGAGCTCCTGTCGTCGGTGTTCGTTGAGATGTCGATCGAGATTGGCGGCATCGGCCAGCAATGCTGTGTAGTCTGGTATGTCTGTCATTACGGAACACGTCGGTGACGAGATGTGAAGCTCGGAAACGCGTCTGGTTGATGTAGTGTTGTTGAAAGTTGTGGGCGTGAGGACCCTGACGTCCTCATGGGGAACGCAGATGGCCACTCAGCCCAGGTCGCTCAGGGGTTTTCGAGTTCCCCGACTTGCCATTTCCAGTCCTTCAGGTCTTTACACTTCCGACCCCGCCTCTTCAACATATTTAACAGGTCAATAAACCTTGCAGCTTGCAGCCTTGTTCCACGACCCCCCCTCGTCCTACCGCCAGTACTCCCTCATCCCGTCACGTACACCTCCTTCTCCTTGACCAACGCGCTCACAAGCCTTACTCTGGGCAGGAACACTATCTCAACCCCCTCGTCTTCACCCCCTACCCCAACGCCGTTCTCTCCTTCTCCTAGGGCTCCAAAACGGTAGAGCCCCAGCCCGCTCGTGCCTGCGATGTACTCTGCCTTCAGTTGGTTTATCTGCGAGCCTCCTTCTGGCCTATCGCTCCTCTTCACCTTTATGCCTCCACTAACCTTCCTCGTGCTCATTTCCCTCACAACACCTCTCCTTTCTGCTCTACATTCTCCCATGCCCTTGTCCTTCTCGCCCCTTAGTGAGTACGAACATTGTGGCTGGACCCACACATCCAGCATATACCGCCCCACGAATGCAGCGCCTGGCGCACACACAGCCAAGATGAGTCCGTGCAGGTTGTCCTCGGCCGTCGCACGTCTGAGGTCGTATGCGCGCTCAAGAAGGGGACGAAGGGTGCTAAAAAAGAGAGGGTCGGAAGAGGAGGCGCTGTGGTGGTGATTGGTAGTGGAGTAACGATTCGAGGGATGGCCGGAGCGGGAGGAGGGAGGAGCAGGGGGTATGCAGACGCCCGCGACGGACAAGACACGCGCGAGGTCGCGGAGAACGTCAGAGATGCAGGTGTTTATGTCGAACGGGACGTTGACGTGGTGGTGCCGTAGCGGCAGCGAGGGCGAGGGCGAATGTGCGGTTGGAACGACGTGCACGCGCTTTACGGGTTTGCCAGTACCTGCTGGAGAAACAATGCAGTAATTACTATCCTCTCCGACCCTTGAGAAACAACTACATACCCGTTTTATCTTCCCTCTGCTCCCCAGCCAACTCAACCAAGACGTCCATGAACGACCTTTGCCTCGGATATGTACCCTCAATAATCTGAGCACACCAGTGGATTACGACAGTCTCCAGTACGGTCTGCATCAGCATCGAGGGGACCTTTCCCGTCTGTGCCCGAGCTCTTGTCTGCATCTGTGTCTGTGTCTTTGCCTCTATCTTCAACTGGGCGTACGCTTCCATCAAGGTCACAACGCCCTGCCCTACCGTCTTCACCGCGCGCTCGCGATCAGCTGCTGTCGGCTCCGCAGATAAAGGGGAGAACCACGTCCGCGAGCCCGAACTCCGAGTCCACTCGAGCTTTGGGACCAACGCGCCTGCGGCCTCCGCCATATCGTCATTCAGCTTCTTCATCTCCTCAACGATGCCCTGCACTCGTGTCTGCACGACCTCGTCTGCGGTCCCAGAGGTTAACCACGAAATAGCGGCCTTGCACCGCGCAGGGATCCACGACTCACGGCGAGCTGCGAATTTGTCCTGGAGTAAAGGATCGAGGTTGAGTGAACGCATGCGGTGCTCAGCGCGTATCATCCTAAGGTGCATACACTCGAGCTGCTCCTTCCAGTTGTCTCTCTCCGCCTCTAGTCCCTCCAACGTGGACCTCTTCGCCTGAGTCACATCCTTCAACTCTTGCATCAACCGCTGCTTCTCATCCACCAATTGCCGGTTCCCCTCCCTGACCTCCCTGACCTCCCTCTCAAGGCCTACTATTTTCTGTGCCTGGACACGGTTCTGGGTGGTCAGCGTGGATATCTCCTCGTTGCATCCCTTGAGCGAGGCGACGAGGTTTGAAGTGTGTTCGGCGTGTGCGTCAGATTGGCGGCGAAGGCGCTGGATGGTTTCCTTGGTGTCGGAAAGTTGGGAGAGGGCACAGGAGAGTTGGGTTTGGAGGCCTTGAATGAGGGGGGAAGAGTGGGAAGGTGCATGGTTGGACTGGATGTGATTAGCGTTAACGCTGCGGAGGGTGGGTTGGGAACGTTGGGCTGGCAGGCGTTGCAAGTGTTGGGCGTCTATTCGTCGATGGCCAAGTTGGAAGGTCTGAATTTGACGGTGGGGAATGGTTTTTTTTCTCATGAGTGGGTCGGGAAAGGGGTGGTCGCGGTCTGGACTCTTGTTTGTCAGACTGGTTGGGCGCCTCGAGGAAGGCGGCGTCATCCGAGAAGTCCGCATGATGAGGAGTGGGGGGAGCCCAGGGGTCTTCATGGTGATGTGTCGGAGGAGGAGCTTCAGGAAGTTTTGGCTCGGGTAGATATGAGCGTTGCTCGACTACTTTCGGTGCCACTGGCTCGCGTTTGAGTCGACGTTCTTGTTCCGGTCGCACGTTTAGAGTCCCTTCTTTCTCGTTTGCTGTGTGTGGATCTCTGGGAGGCTGTGGCTTGCACTTAGTCGGCTCTGCACGGTAACAGGATGAGACTTGCTTCGATGGCCGATTCGCCCAGCTCTTTGCGACACCTTTGAAGGGATATTTATGACCGGATGTTCCGTCTTTCGCGGAGTGAACTTCAGAGCGGGTGGGATGATGATAATTTGCTGCTTTTGAATAATCTCCGGCCTTCTGCTCTTTCTCCATAGACATCGATGTAGTTTTGGGTGCGAGTAGGGTCTCCAGTTGCGGTTCCTCATGGACTGGAAAATCCTCATTCAACATCGGCGCCTTTGGTTCCTCTTTCCAATGCCTGTCTTCGTCGAGGAGTAAAGTTTGTTGGTCCTGTGTAGGATGGTCGGGTCGATATTGGGAGGAATTCTGCTTCGAAGGTCTATTGGCCCAATTACTCGCCACGCCGTCCTTGCTCTCATACTGAATCGGAGAAGGCTCGACACCAGGTGGACCTGTTGTTTTCGAATTATCTATAGCTTCTTCTTGTTCCTTCACGGCGGACATTATTTCTAGTGTGGTCTGGGGTGTGTGCAGGATATGTGGATGCGCTGCCTCATGGATTGGCTCCTCATTCACCTTCGGCAGGTTTTTTGGCGCCATGCTACCATGCTTGTCCGAGACAAAATGTGAATTTCGTTGGTGGGTGACTGATAGTTGCCTCGACGGCCGGTTCGCCACGCTCCCAAAGACAAGAATATCACAATTCGGTGCTGTCCCAAGCTGAGACCGAGTCGAAGGAGAGCCCACTTGAATCCTAGATTTTGATTGTGCTTTTGTTGGTCGCTCGCGGTCTGAGTGTTCCGCAGGATCCTTGCATATCGAGGAGAAGTATTGGGTCATCTTGGATGTCTCGGAGGATGATGATGGTCGAGCTGGCATCCTGAGGGCACATCACCTCAAATGAAGAGGTGGACGGAGGGAGAGGGAGGTGTTCGGTTAGGGGCGAAGCCGTCGTCCACCCATCGTGGATATGACAGCCAGATTGCACATCCTGTCAATATTGATGTTGAGGCTGAAGCGCTGAAGGCTATAAGTAGTTGGTCAAGGCGTCACCGTACCCGCGCGGGGCACTAACCAGGAAATTTCGAGACTAGTAGAGCCTATTAGAATAGATGTGCCGACGATGGAGAATAAGTCG